TTGCTCCTGTTGCCCAGGCCAGAGTACAATGGCAGATCTCAGCTCACTGCACTCTCCACCTCCCGGGTTCAAGAGATTCTCCTGCCTCAGCCTCCCAAGTAGCTGGGATTACAGACATATAGCACCACACCTGGCTAATGTTTTCTTTTTGGATTTTTAGTAGAGACGAGGTTTCACCATGTTGGTCAGGCTGATCTGAAACTCCTGACCTCAAGTGATCCACCTGCCTCAGCCTCCCAAAGTGCTGGGATTACAGGCGTGAGCCACTATGCCTGGCCACTCCTAATATTTTTCACTGGGATCAAACTAGGGTCAGCTCCCAGTTAGCTCCATGGATGGAGCAGAGAAATGTTTAAGCTGAAATGAAACAAGTGAAGAATGCAAACATCATTTAAGGTTGGGCCTTGGACTGTGGGGACACGTTGATTTTCCCTGTGTAGGGACACATTGATTGATTGACTGACTGACTGATTGATTGATTGATTGAGACAGAGTCTCACTCCTTCACGCAGGCTGGAGTGCAGTGGCACAATCTTGGCTCACTGAGACCTCTGCCTCCCAGGTTCAAGCAATTCTCCTGCCTCAGCCACCTGAGTAGCAGGGATTACAGGCATGCGCCACCATGCCCAGTTAATTTTTGTATTTTTGGTAGAGATATAGGGTTTTGTCATGTTTCCCAGACTGGTCTCGAACTCCTGAACTCAAGTGATTCGCCTGCCTCGGCCTCCCAAAGTGCTGGGATTACAGTTGTGAGCCACCGCGCCCAGCAGGAACACACAGTTAGATGTCTAAGTGTACATACACACCACCCATATACACAAAGACCTTGCTTCAGACCCCTTACAGGAGGCAGGTTCAATTAACTGGAAAATAATTAGAAAGCAATTAGAACACTTGTTCTGCTCACCCCAGGAGACCTAAATATGTGACTAGAAAGTAATGAGGCTAGCTTCAGCCATTTGTGAAAATCCAGCTCACTTCATTGCAGCCACTAGGTGGTATATAAAATAAGTTCAGAGAGGAGTAAGTCAGGCAATAGGATAATCCACATCCTATAGAAAGGATTCCTTGTTTGCACCCTTGGAGAAACTTCCCCCTTTTCTTTTCTTTTTAAAATTTTATTTATTTATTTATTTATTTTAGATACTAGGTCTTGCCATGTTGCCCAGGCTGGCCTACTCCTGGGCACAAGCAATCCACCCACTTTGGCCTCCCAGAGTGCTGAGATTACAGGCGTGAGCCACCACTCCCGGGCGCTTCCCCCTTTCAAGGCACAAATCTTCCTAGTGATGAGAGTGGAGAAACAAAATCTTCCTTGGAATGTGTCCTTTGTCTGGGCCTATTCTTGGAGTTGAGATGGGAATACAGTCCCAGTGCTGCGGAATCTAATACATAGGGCCAACCTTTTCCATCACAGTTGGTTAAATCCATGGATGGGGGGCTGACTAAGGGACTTGGACACATGTGGATTTTGATATCCATAGAGGGTCCTAAAACATATTCCCCCGGAGATATGGAGAGCCAACTGTACACAACTAAGGCTAACTACATTATTGAAAGTAGCACTCATTCAGTCCTTCATTCCTTCATTTCTTCCTTAATTAATTCATCTATTTTGTATTAACCTTCAGTCATATCTGCTCTACCCCAAATGTGTCTCACATCTATCCATTCTTCTCCAGTCCCACTGTCACTGCTCTACTTCAGCTCTCATTGTTTCTTACCTGGACTTAGGCAATAACCTCCTACCTAGACTCCATTGTCCTCAACCTCACTTCTCCAATCCATCACCCACAGGGAAGCCAGAGTTATCTTCCTTAAGCACAGCTTCAGTCATATCTGCTGGGCCAGGCATGGGCGCGGTAGTTCACACCTGTAATCCCAGCACTTTGGGAGGCTGACACGGGTGGATCACCTAAGGTCAGGAGTTCAAGACCAGCCTGACCAACATGGTGAAACCCCGTCTCTACTAAAAATGCAAAAATGAGCCAGGCATGGTGGTGGATGCCTGTAATCCCAGCTACTTGGGAGGCTGAGGCATGAGAATCCCTTGAATCCAGGAGGTGGAGGTTGCAGTGAGCCGAGATCGTGCCATTGCATT